ATAATATATATATATATATATATATATTTTTTTTTTTGATAATTCATGCCAAGAAAAAGAAAATCTTTCAAATAAACGTCGTTTAACATAACACATTCCACCTAAAATCACTCAAGTTACGTAAATGTTGGCTATTAAAGCATGACGAGATATATAATAATAATAAAAAGAACATCTAACAAACGACATTTATTCGGTGATAACTTTAGAACGTTATAATTAGCATCTAAAGCGAAAGTCCAACATATTGAAGAAAGATAGAAAAGAAAAGGAAAGAAAAAAAAAAGAAAAAGATACAGTAAAATCTATTTAAACATTCACCAAGGTGTCCCTGCCATCAGTGAAGTCACAGATGACCCGGAATTTGAGTAAATTTCTCGGTGATTCCGCGTCCACGAGATCTTCCAATGAATGTGCTAATGTCACAGATACATGAGTACCATTAACGTCTTTGTATGAAAAAAAACGACTGTCCTCTTCCTGTAACATTAAAAACACACGTACATAACATAAAGAAACACGTTTGAACAACATCAATCCTTTTCATTTATTACTTTTTTCTTTTTGTTTCAAATGAAAAAGACCTCCTCTTACCTAAATGAAAGTTCAATTATGAAAGGAAAGGTTTAGAAAGAAAGAAAGTGAAATGTACCTTGTCGACGGGTATAATGGTAAGACGATTTCTAGGATGAGCTTCCAATGATAAAATCTCTGAACCTTCTCGTAAATTTTCTGGTACTCTGACGAATTTTAAATATTCGCCGATTGGATAAAATTGACATCCTGTAATATAAATTAATATTAAATAAATTTATTTATTATATTTTTTGTATTTTAATATTATTAGTATTATTAATAAACTATATTTATTTTTATATACTACCATATATAAATATTAAATACTGTTAATATACAATAAGTTCGCATGGCTCAGTGAGGCAAGTCACCATCCAGTATTCGTATGTTCCCGAGTTCAAATCCCGGGGGTGAAAAAAAAATTCTACGTCATATTATAATAAATAGTACCGAAATTCGGCAACAACTTGACTGACATCTTATCTGTATATCTACTATTAATAATATATTTAAATATTAACTTTAATATATAATATAATATATTATTATTATTTTATTACTATTATTAGTTATATTATATAGGTTTATTATATTAATATTATTAAGTATATAATATGGTATTATACTATTATTATAGTATTTTATTATTTATATATTAATAGTATATTTTATATATGTATATATATATATATATATATA